TCGTCATCGTCGTCGTCGTCGTCGTCGTCGCCGTCGTCGTCGTCGTCGTCGTCGTCGTCGTCGTCGCCGTCGTCGTCGTCGTCGTCGTCGTCGTCGTCGTCGCCGTCGTCGTCGTCGTCGTCGTCGTCGTCGTCGTCGTCGTCGTCGTCGTCGTCGTCGTCGTCGTCGTCGTCGTCGTCGTCGTCGTCGTCGTCGTCGTCGTCGTCGTCGTCGTCGTCGTCGTCGTCGTCGTCGTCGTCGTCGTCGTCGTCGTCGTCGTCGTCGTCGTCGTCGTCGTCGTCGTCGTCGTCGTCGTCGTCGTCGTCGTCGTCGTCGTCGTCGTCGTCGTCGTCGTCGTCGTCGTCGTCGTCCAATCACATAATCCACCGTGTAGCGTCTTTCCGAAGCCGGCCTGCGGCGTCCGAAGCAACAACAACAACAACAACAACAACAGTACTAGTAGTAGCAGCAGCAGGTGTTGCAGCAATTGAATACCCTAACTTGGCCAGTTGCTACTGCCTACTGGTGGGCGGCGCTGGTGTAGACGGAGGTGGCACCCCACCCCCGGGAGGTGTGCTTTCTTTTGACGGTGGCCCACCCTGGTGGGTTAACACGCTACTGCTACCGCCAATCGCGTTCGCAGAACTGGCTAGCGCACCAGAGCTACTCGTGGCTATTGTCGTTGCAGACGTCTGAGTTATTGTTGTTGTCGTTGTCGCTGATTGTTGCTGCTGTTGGCTATTATGCGTCGCGGATGAGGTCGTCGTCGGAGGCAGATTGCCGCTCACTCCACTGGGTAAACTAGTAGGTAAACTTGAAACCGGCGCGGTGCCCGGACTCGATGGGGATGCAGCAACTGCAGCGGCCGTAGCTGCTGCAACGATGGCGGGATGCGATGCCTTTCCGATCGCCGCCGCACTCTGCTGGGGCGTGCCCGGCGTCCCGGGCAGGGCACCAGTGGAAGCAGCGGCGGCGGAGGCCGCCGTTGGTCGACTAGCTGTTCCGGCGGGAACACCGAACGCCGCTAACGATGGAGCTGTACGCGGGACTCCACTACCAGTCGCGGCTGGTAGCGATGTCGGCGGCGCGTGGCCTGGTCGTCCTGATCCACCACCCACGCCTCCTGCACCTGCTTTCCCATGCGGTTGCTGCTGCAAAAGCTGCGCAAACGTCGTTGCCTGCTCGGGCGTTAATAGAGACCTTAGCAGCTGAATCTCTTGCGTTAGTTGTTCATTACGTTCGTTCAGTTCGGTGATCTTTTCCCGCAAGACGTCCACCTGTGGGTGATAGGCGTAAATTATTGCGCACGAAGAGGCAAAGAGCACCAGAGTAGTCACAACAACAACACAAAAACCGTACAAGACGTTAAGATAGTCAATAATTAATTTATATCCACACGTGTATATACGATGGTTAATGGCAAATAAAACAGCAACGCAATTGGAGATATGTTCTGCAATGATACCATTTCGACGACCGATAGCTTGAAACAGCCGTACTGACGCGGTTCCTAATAATAACAATTTTCCTTCAGATTTCACGTTTCAATACACACACAACCGTTAACTATGAATGCTGTAAAAAGACTGTCAGCTTGAAATGCCCAATGCATCAAAAATACATCAATCTATAAATACACTCGGTATTAGATAGATACGCACCTCTTCTCTGACAGCGAACATAAGATGACTTTTGACCAAATCCATTGCTTGTTCGATTTTGTTATCGATTCCTCCAGCGCCACCTGCCGCGTAATTACTAAAACAGGAAAAATGAACGAAGGTCCATTAAAGTCGTCCATTAGTAGATAAAGTGACCAAGAAACACAGATGCAGCTGAATGCAGCAATCAAGACATTTGCGCTACACAAGAAAAAAACAGGAGGTCAATCTAAGAGTAGATTTATCATGAAATGGTTATCTGAAGGATAAGGGGTTAATTTAAAAAAGCAACAATATCGCAACGAAGTTCAATAACGTACGCATATAATGCGGGCTTAGTTCTTAAATGTTAGCTTGATTTGTTTGGAGTATTTCGTAATTAATGCGCTAGTGATCTTTGTTGAGTTAGGCACGATGCAAAATGCAAATGCACGTAATAATAATAATAATAATAATACAGTTACTTTTGAGTGCGCATGTGCCATACGATCGATAATTGTGTGCACGTCGATGGAGAACATGCGCTTATTTTATTGTCACTTAATACCGGTCCAAATGTGGTATGGTGCACGATTGAGATGACCGTATACATTCGAAGTACAAATACATGTTAGCGTTCAGATCTATTATTTTTATGGGTGATCCTTCTTCCATCGTTTCCATCAACGACAATTTCATACTTTGTTTCTCAAAAGAGCTTATAATATAATTGTTGGCGGCGGTGTAAGCGGAAAAAAAAGTTGGATTTTATACAAATGGACCCAAGGACAAAAGTTGGAAAACTCTACTAAGTTTACAGTTTACTTGTCCTTAACCTGTACGTGGAACAAGAGAACCCTCGGCAATCGAGTCAAACCTGAAATCTTCCATTAACCCCTGCGATGCATTAGAACTTTTTCATCGACGATTTGGAACCAATTATATTCAGCAGTCTCATCAATTCTCAGCTTCGATGCATTGTTCTCAAAGTTAAGAATCGTGGAAATCAGTATTTTCTGTTTAATACAGCTTTAAATACGGATGGCTTCATTATTAGTACTTAGTCTACAGTCCGGAAGGACACGCAAGTAACGCTCCCAACGGCTAAATGTTAACAGAATCATACAGTACGTATCGACCGTTTGTCAGAACAATTCAACTTCTTGCAATATGGCCTCGACATAGCATGCAATAAAGTTTCCATGATAACAGCCATCCTCGTAGCATACTTCCTCGTTCCATCGAATGCAAGTTTCGTTTAGGGACCAGATGCTGATGTAATATTTATCAATCGTTCATCCACCTGTGTGAAGTTGATGCCGAGACAGTAGAAATCTGTACATTGCTGTGTCTGAAGTTTGATTTGTGGTCCGAAAGCAACGGCCTACTGGATGCATCTTTGACCTCGGGTGGTTCACCGATAGAAGCTGAAGTGGAAGAGGACCGCAAAGTTCTCAAGCTAATGGCTGCATCCTCTGCCGTACAGGATCCCGAGCAATACCTGAACTTGCTTCTGTGTTCTTCTATGACATCAACAGCCTGATGGAGATCAATTGCGCTGTGGATTTGTGCCATGTTTCGATGAGCAACACCGCGATGCGGGGGGTATGCAGTCGAGACCTTCCGAAGTGCCATTCGTTGATCGTGCTCATGTTGTACAAGCAGCTGCTTCGCCGTACCGCCGCCAAGATGCGGCGAACTGCTCGAGCGATTTAATCGGCCGAGAGATCGACCGGTAGGTGAAGATATTTCTATAACAATTCGCGGTAATGTCCGGGCACGTTGAGCCTGTTCCCCATACGTGGCGCTGAAGGTGTTAATGCCTATGGCAGCCGCGTAACCCCTATCGCCAGCAAGAAACCTATGACAACCTAGTTGGCAATTTTACAGATGTCCTTTGGCGTGCTTCTCCTCCAGTAACTCAAGGGGTTCACTTCAGCCACTGATTCTTATATTATCATTATAAATGGATTGCGCAAATAATTACTATAACCGCTAGACAGGTTATTCGTGAGGCTAATAATATAATAAAACAGATCAATTATCAGAACTCTGCTCAGCACTATGCCACTGTACGGTATCGCAAGAAACTATGAAACTATCAGTAATTGGAAGATATTTCATGTACAACATGCAGTTGTCGTCAAAATTGTGACTCCCAACAGCTTTTTATAGATAAATTAGCCAAAAAAGCAAAACCCGATTTACTTTATAAGCGCTCAGACATCTATAAGGCGCATCCTAGACTGGCCACTGAGACTCTCATTAGAGAGCTATATAAAATAACGAGATAACATTTTCTAGTTCTATTAAGTTAACGACTAGATATATTTATAATCGAGCGTACCGTTATCAAGTTAATTATCGGACCTATCGGATTTACCATATAGAGAGAAACTATTTCTTGCTAATTAAAAGTTGATGTACACTAACTTCACCATTTTGGTAGGTTCATGTGCTGAAAGCTACAAATCGAGTCAACTTAATCTTCAAGCAAATTTTGACGCAACACCGATCGCGGAAAGGATCGTGTTAATTTAGTGGCTGCTACAATTAAGGGATTTTCGACCAGTACCATGCTAAGTACCTAAATGTAAAACGGGTATCTCTAAACGTCATTAATATATTCACTTCTCAGAAAGAGAAAGATAAGGTACAAGAGTCCGTTTCGCTCGAAGCGATATGAGATTTTTAAAGTAAATTTATGAAAACTGTAGCATATATATATATATATATATACACACACATATCCCAGCTGGAAAACCAGTGAGTAATATAGAATGACCCTATAAAAGAAATTAACGTGGAGAATCAAATAACTGCCACTCGAGTGCCGATTAACCATTTGTGCCATATGTTTCATGATGAATGAAATCATCCACGTTAACAATACAACTCGTACATACTTTACATATCTTTTGGGAGCATCAAATCATACCGGACATTTAAGCCCATCGTTTATACAGAGCGCTGAAGGTGGCCTGACTTGCTCTCGACTACTTACGCGACGGCCTCGCAAATGGATAAATGGCCTCTTCTCTTTTCAAGTTTAGGCACATCCATTTGATCATTTATTCGCTCATTCTTTAGTAAACACACTCTCTTCAGGAAAAAGCCTGCTTCACGCCGGCGCTGTGCACTCCATTTTGCCCACAAGTACTTGTGTTCCCCTCGAAGCTCACGTCGAATACTCTGAGGATTTTTTTTGCGACCTGCTGTATTTGTTATGTATACAAAGCGTTTTATGAAGGGAGCTCTGCTTAACCTCAAAGTTGACCAAGCTGCCTTTCAGTCAATTTACGCGTGTCCAATTCATTGCTGAGCCTCACACTGTGCTGACACTCATCAGCCTCAATAATCTTCAGACCTCCTAAGAACATGTACTCTTCTTTATTCGCTTATTGTTCAGTGCACCAATGACCAGTTTACCATGTGTGTAGTATATACCCTACTATATAAAAAGGTACGATTTGATACTTGACCTGGCTCTAAAAGTGAATGTACCCGTAAACATATTCTGGATGACACTTACGGCGCCGTGCCATCTGTTGTCATAACTTTGACATGGTATCCTTCTTGCCGTCGTCGTTTATCTTTCAACCGACAGAATGCAACGATGCGGTTGTCTAAAAAGTTTTGTTGACAACAGATCGTGGCAGGGTGGGGCAAAAGCTGCAGCAATAAGAATGACATGCTCCGCTACGCAACAGAGAGACGAACGGTTTTGACAAGCGATGGCGCGTGACACAGTGTAGAATCCCTCGATCCTTAATTAGGTTAACAGATAACTGCGCAATATCCCACAATATGCTACAGTACTCGATAAAATGTCAGTGAATGCAACTAACAGTGGGCTTTGATACACATGAAATAGATTTCTTATAAAAACTAACTTCACAGCCGTATACTGTACTGATATTGGACCCAAATGTATCGTTTTAGTGAAAGGAAGAGGACTTTCGCTAATAATAATAATAATAATGGCAGTAATACATTGCGTAGCGTTTGATTAGTGTCTGTGTTCGTTTCAGAACGGGTTTACATAATCATGATGAACTATCTCTCCTTCGTAAGAAAGCAATAAAGAGTCATTATTTGCTCCTTAAGCACCATTTACATTTGTTTTCTACTTATGTATTTAACCATGAACGATGTTTAGAACTTCCGATCAAAATCCTGAAAAAGATCCCAAATTCATTGTATAAATAAAAAGTGACCACCAGTAAAATAAGGTGAGTCGACTACAGCGGTAACTGAGCAGCACTTTAAGCAGGTACGCCATGGCGAGATTCTGTTCCGTTTCATCGTGAAACGCTATGTTAAATTTTATATGTACATACATATATATGTACACCATGCATCGCATCTCTCTGGCAACCTTGAGATGACAAGAAATGCCAAAGGAGAAATCAGGCGGCTCACGCACTCATGTATATTGCGTTATGTACATGAGTATAAAGAGGGCGTGAAAAATCGAATTCTTAACGCATACACAAACAACACACAAGCACACGCCATAGACAAAAGGTGTTGTAATACAAAGGCATTGTAAATCGCTAAAATTCTAGGTGAAATAAAAAAAAAAAAAAAAAAGGTGTAGAAGGAACACTATGGGAACTAAGTGGTGCATCTGAGCGGCGAAACTAATAGATCGGTGTTATCCCTACTCGGATCGATCCTTTCTTGGAAGCACATTCCTCACTCTCTGTCAGCATCGAGTGAACAGTCATAGTCCATAATTAGGAAACGTCATTTTATTGATAATGCTATGGGACGAATTGAGTTAGAAGAAAAATTCTACAATTATCCTATTAGTAGAAGCCGTAGTATTAGTAGCGATTAACGGGAGTGTACGAACCCACTTTGTGTTATGCTCGATGGTCATACGGCCAAAATGACGCTTAACGGCAAGGTCCAGACATCGAATTTGAGGCCGTAGCAATAATAGTGAGTATCAGCATCCTCCAGCAAAATCACGAGGACAATCATTGCCTGCCAAACCAGCTCACCGGAAGGTGATGGTTTAATGTTCTTCCGTCGATGTACTTCGTTTGTCTTGTCCGTTTGATCATTTCATGATAATGGCGCTAGAATTCGAACCGAAGAGGCCTTGGCAAAATAAGTCGGAAGGTCATATCACAGGTAATAACGAATAACGTTCTGGGGAGCAATAGTTAGTAAGACAAATCGACGGCTTTACGCAACAACCGATATTTGTCACAGCTTCTAATCAAACTGCAAAGAGATATGAAACAAACAAAACATGACAAGTTATGCGACACGACTTCCAATGGAAACCTGAAT